CCGGAAAACCCGTTACACTGGAGATGTAATCGAACTTTATTTTATTATCCCTTGGCACCCTTAAAGCGATAAGAGGTACTACGTAATAGGCTTGGTTGGTTTTTTACAAATTTTACATTCATGAAATTCTGTATAAAAAACAGTAGGTCAGAATTTCTCCGTTTTGTGTTTTTTTAATAGTTAGTTGGCCACTAATGAACAGATTGCCATAATCGGTAACTAATTGAACTCACTAATTGAACACACACTGCTATATCACGGCGTCACCGGATGCCTGAATAAACTTACTCACTAATTGACTGTTATTGTTTGACTAGTATAGACAAATAGTTCATTTTGCATGCGTATGCAAACAGTTACACGCTTCAAGATTCTCCCTGGTTACCTTGTATTAGCTGTCTATCCTTGACTAACTACTGACGCGCACTATTGATAACAAAATGGGAGAAAATGGAAGGACGCATTCTTTTAAATATAGGGCGTACAATCATACATCAGCACTGACTGCACACACCCAGAAGTTAAGCGCAATATATTGTACTGTGGCTAGTCTCGAAAGATAACAAAAGCTTCGAAAAATGCTCGTTGAGTCGTTTAATATCAGATTGGTCGTCTAATCGTCCAAATTGGTGTGCAGACAGCAGGATACAACACAGAGATCGCTTTCCGAAACAGATCGGGGTATTTAGCATTTTCTGCCTGTTCGTCTTCATTTTTCTTTTGATTGGATTCACACGTACGTTTTTGGTCCGGAATAGGTCTGTTTCACCCTGTGATTTTGCTCTCTCTATCTCGTGATTATGCTCAGGTGCCAGCACAGACTCGGTTCACATCTTGTGCACAAATAGCATTACCTAGCACAGTCGGATTATTGATATTCGTATTTATTGAACTAAAGCCTGTTGCTATTAATTACGTCCGTTTTGACCCAGACCTGAAAATATGAATCTCATATTACATTCACCCAATTATTGAGCGTGAAAGGTATCGTAGTTCGTTTGCACGCCACAATTAGGCTTGTTTTATTGTGCATCATCTTCGAAAGGGAATCGGTTGACTATTTTCAACTGAGTGATTTCTCAATCACCGTTTAGACACAACTAGGCGGGCAGTTGATGTTGCAGCGCATCGTCTCAAGGTTACATGCTTTTCCAGCTATAGTGAAGGCAACGTGATTCAATCAGATTGCTTGTGACGCTCGACAAGGTCGTTAAGTGTTTCACGTGACAGTATCAGAATATTTTCCGTTTTGTGCAGAAAAGTGAAATTAATTGAGAGGAAAATGCGCGCGAGCAGGTTTTGCGATTCTGAATGCATATCCGCCGCCGTTCTACGGTCCATTTAATATCAGACAAGTGATTGAACAAAGTGCGTGATCATGAAAGACCGATCAATCGATCCTATAAATAGTATATTTTTCCTCCTGCGTTTATTGCCCTCATTATTTGCATTTCAAACACAACAATAACGAGGTAACCATAGCTCTGAAAGATTTACCAATCATTTGTGATCATCGTCATGGTTACTACTACCGTGGATCAAAAAATCTAAATATGCTGTGTCTAAATTAAGACACTGTGAATTGTTGCGGCTGGAACTCCAAACAATAAACAGCCTGGTGGCTCGGTGGTGTAGAAGAAAAATTAATTCATTTATAAAATCACGATAGAACAGAAGAAGACATCATTTGAAACAATTTTTCTGTTTAGAAAGACGAGAACTTCGTAAATGCAAATCGACGGAGCAGTTATTGACATATTAAAAGGGAAATTATCCTGTCGGGTGAACAAACAATTGGAAGTCGCTGTACCTGAGCA